TAGGAATTGTTCAGTAATAACTGTTGTTATTATTATTCAAACTACATGAAAGGGAGCATAAAAACCAACCACCGTTATCTCTGCATCTTTTATTTAAGCATCTTTATACTTTTTCTCTACTTATGACTATAACCTTGTTGCTTGTATCTTTACATTATGTTTTATTTAGTTTCCTAGTATGATTTTGATTGCTTATTTAGTATCCTATGACTATCACTAAGTGTTGTATCTTATGATTCTTAATGAATGTATTTTTATGTACACTGAGAGCTTATGCACAGAAGACAAATTCTATATGTGCCCAATCTCACTTGGCCAATAAAAAATAAAGAATTAAAGAATTGCTACAGTAATTCCATCATAAGTATCAGGTAGGAGGGAGAAGAGAATCTACACTGCTGCTTAAGTTAGTTACCACCATCAATCATTGCTGCTCTCGTGCCATGCAAAAACAAAATTCTTGATGGAGTTATCTTATGGAAATGGAGCAGGTAGGAAGATTTCAGGAAGATATGTCAAAAAGATTGTACTGATAAGCAGTCTCTATAGTGAGAGACTGGATTATCAGGAAATAAATAAATATTATTGGCAGTATCCAAGAATTATTTCTTTTCCAAATTGCTGGTCAATCAGACTTTAAAAAAATATCAGTGCCACTATTAGATATAATGTTAGATATAGTTTCATGCACTGCTGTTTATAAAATCATTGAATTTAAACAGTTTTTGTGAGAACTGTGGCAAGTTCATTTTACAGTTCACCTTTACTAAATGTAGCATAGTAATAAATGTGTAATAAATGCTGTTAACCTGGAACATGTTTATTCTTAGACAACTGCATGGTTAATATACAACCATTACATATTTCATTAATTAACAGCAGTATCAGGCTATAATTCTGATGTAATCTACAAAGCTTTACCAGAGACCAGTTTATTTGACATAGTGAATCCTCTTCTAAGTCTGTGATATTTAAATTTAATCAGAGGTACTTTTCTGTCACCTTTCGTGCCTTTGGCAGTTATCTGAAAGGCTTTTTTCTGGGTAATTCTATCCTGTAAGATTGCTTACTAAAAAGCCCATTTAGCCTTTTCTCTGGTGACTTTCCACCATCATTGAAATGTATGGAAATACACACACACATGCACATCTTCAGATTGGTCTGTGATTTCATTCATTTACTTTAAAGCTACTATAATTATGCTATTCTTATTCATTACTGTTTAACTCACTTCTATTATGGTTTGACATTTACCTTGAACTTCCTGTTGCTAGTCAGCCCACCTGTTCAATAAAAAGTGTCTGTGTGGTTGCTGCTGCACCCAAAAAAATTGAACTTGAAGACAGGAGGAACTGAGGTAGATGAGATTGAGAAAAAGTATATGAACACGGAGGAGGAACAGAATATTAATGTGGAAATAGAAAAGTGAAAAGGAAGGGAAGTTTTGAAAAGAATGAATTAGAAGAGGCCTACTTTGCATATTACTCATGTGGGGAAAAGCCATGAAATTTCAGTGAGATTGTAACCAGATCGGTGTCATCACTTCCTATACACATATATTAAAAGGAGGACTATTTGTATATGGGAAACTTTTTCACTGAAGCTACTACCCAAACTGCAAAAGCTAATGAAGCAATAATTGAAACCTCATGTGTACCTATAGCAGACTCTGCTTCAGATGTTCCTGCATAATGTACTACTATCAGGGACAGAGAAGCTGTACAAAATAAGTCCTAATTGAATCCTCCATTGGGTGGAGGTTATTTAATTGAATAAAGCATCTTTTCTAATGACATTCTTTCAAAAAATGTGTGTCTCTCAGAAAATTAGTTGATTGGACAAGCCATGGTTGCAAAAAAAAACCTGTTGAATGAATAGAGGAACTATATGAAAAACAATGAGGAGGCCTCAAGAAAGGAAACAACACATCTTAGAAAAGAGGTCAACTAAATTAATTTTGTGATGAGATGACGTAGCCTGTTAATATAGAATATAATTAAGCAAAGACATCAAGTTTTATTTAAGTTGTACAGTCATTCGGCACACGTGTACACAAAACTGCGTATTTGTCTTCTGCTGAGATTCTGAGCAGAATTGAAAATGAATCCCCACCACCACCACCTCTGCCAGTCCTCTGAGCCGGAAAGGTTGGAGACCATTGTTTTAGAGGACCTCTACTTAGTCCAATGGACATTACAATAAGGATCATCTATGAACATTTATATAAAGGTGATCAGAAATCTTGTGATTGGATGGTAATTAATATAGTAATAAGATCAATCTCTGTTTATTTATCAGTCAGTAGTAGTGTAGGTGTTGGAATGGTATTTCAATATTGTCATCTCCTAAATGAGATCCAATCAGTTGAACCTCAATTTCACCAAGAACAGGAGCAATGATGTGAAATATTTCTTCACCAGGAACTCCACCTATTTTAATACTTTTATCATCCTCTGTCACTCTCTCATTACTCAAATGTCTTCCTCCTACTCCTCAAAAGCTCTGCCTTTTTCCATGAACAGCTGGCAGGTGCTGCAATCAGAACGTGTGACCTGTCAGGCAGTCTTGGCTTACAATATTATTACAAATGAAAATGTTGAAGGATATGTCAACATATGTCATCAATACCTTTCCATGACTATTTGATATCTGAATAGCCCTTTCAATGAATCAAGGGAAGTTGATTATTGCCTTTGACTATCATTATGAGAAATTTGGATTTGCGGCAGTGTAACATACCTTTTCTGTTTTCATGTGATTTTTGAAATATATTTTTTATGAAATTATGCATTTTTAGTAGTTTAATTGAACAATTTGCTCATTTGCCTGGTGTTCATACTTCAACACCTTTGTAAGTACAACTGTTATGTTGCACTAAAGATATGGCTTTTGAGTTTTGATATATCCATATGGGACTATAAGGGGTACGATATTTCCTTAAACAGAAGCAAATGAAAACGCTAAAATATAATATATAGTTCTGAGAGCTTTCTTTAAGAGGTGACGAGCAAAAATCATCAATGATTCAAGAGTTGAATCTGAGAAATGCCATGCATTTGTAAATGTCCTGTATTTTACCTTCGTTTATCTCCTTTCAGTTGCAGGCTATCAAGGACATACAGTTTTTACTGAAGCTTGCCAATTGTTATCAGAAACTTATTCCTAATTTTGCTGCATGAACTACATCCACTGACTCATTTTACCAAGAAGGGGGTTCATTTTCAATGGGATTCCAAAACACTAACAAACTTTTCTTCTTCTCAAACAGAAATAATCTTTTTAAAACCCTCTTATCATCCAGATCAGGGTGACATTTTCCATTTTCCCTCGGGATCTGCACTTTTATAGTCCAAGTTAAGGGCACTCTGCTAATACAGGTAATCCTTGACTTACAACAATTCATTTAGTGACTATTCAGAGTTACAACAGCACAGAAAAAAGTGACTTATGACAGTTTTTCCACACCTACGACCATTGCAGCAATCCATGGTCATGTGATCAAAATTCAGATGGCTTGGCAACTGACTCATTTATGATGATTGCAGTGTCATGGGGTCATGTGATTACCTTTTGCAACCTTATGACAAGCGAAGAAAATGGGGAAATTTGATTCACTTAACAACTGTATTATTAACTTAACAACTGTAGTGATTCACTTAACAATTGTGGGAATAAAGGTTGTAAAATCCAGCAAAAGTCATTTAATAAGTATCTCATTTAGCCATAGAAATGTTGGGGTCAATTGTGGTCGTAAATTGAGGATTGCCTATATTTTCTGGCAAATATTTTTACATGAAAGTTACTAGAATATTTTTGGCCATTAAAGAAGTCTTTTAGCAAAGGTGCCATCTCCTCAAAGGAAATCCAAACTGACCACAATTTGGAACAGGCTTCTCACAAATTTACACTCAGATGGGCACATTCTTTTCATCATTTTAACTTGCATTTCTTACATTCTTAGCTTGCAGAATAAGCTGGTGGATGGTTTATCATATAAACCAGAATATTCCCTACTTTACAATACTCATTCCATCTCTATTCTGCAACTGGAAATTTCCTCCCTCTTTTCTTTGGTATTTGGTTCACTCTAGGAAACTCTTGGGACTGGAAGGAAGCTTCTTTTCTTATCTGATCAAATCTCATTCAGCAAAGAGCAGGATCCATATGTACAGGCTCAGCTAGATCATCTTCAGGCAATTCTTCCATTTTCTTTTTCCTTGCGAAAGGGGAGAATGACATCACAACAAATGGTTAGAGATCTTCCTTGAAGAAAGATGTGTTGCTGCTCTGCCAGGATAACTGGCCAGCTGGACATTATGGATTATTTTAAATGACCCATTTCCTGCTCCATGACATTTCATATGCTCAAATTAAAGCAATTTCAGTGCCAATGATTCTTCAGCAGCATGACAAGTTTTCAGCCAACAAATTAGCTTGACGTTACATCCCTTCTCCTCCCCATAGAGACTTTGGCATACAATTTCCCTGGCATCTATTACTAACCTACTATGTATGAAGAGTCTAGATACAAGCTCCCAGATGAATGGCTTCAATTTTTGAAGACGCAGAGATGCGTATAAAGTTGGGAGAAGAGGAAATGAAAGTGAATAGTGACTTGCTTAATGTAAGACCAGCATATCTGCCTAATGATTGGATGAGTGTAATTATTGTTTTATTGCATGGATGGCAAGAAAGAATGCTAAAAAAATAATAGAAGGAAATTCCATTTGTTAAATATGCTTGAGAAATTGTTTAGAATATTCTGTTTCAAAGGATTCAAGAGGTAACAATGAGCAAACATTTGTGAAGTGCCATGGAGATTTTTAGTTTAAAAGGTATGCTTATATTTTACTCCTGTTTACCTGTTTTTACCTGCAGGCTATCTGCTGTAAAAGAAAACAATGCAAAACATGAACTCACGGTCTAATTTTTAATAAGCAAAATAATGAAAATGAAAATAAAAAACAGCAGTAACTTATTTATCAGGTAAAGTTTGCTTACCAGGTAAAAAGACAATTGCAAGTAGTCTTCAAACTGTACAAAAGTAGAAGTGGGTGATGAACATGGATCCTTCAATCTTTCCCCTAGTGCTTAGAAACTACATCTCTCTCCCTGCATTCTGGCACTGATCCTATCTAACCCTATCTAATCTAACCTACAAACAGCATGGTATTGTCAATTCCTGCTATTGCACTGGTTAGGCTGTTTTTTCTATTTAAAAAAAAATCCAATCCCAAACTACAAAGGTAAAATTCAAGCATGGATTCATTCAAAGCAGCCAAGCTTTATTTTACATGCAGAACAGAACTATTTAATGCTAACTTAAATTAAACTCCCAGATCACTACTGTCTTTTCAAACTTGGGACATCTGACGAAGCCATTCTAGGTTCAAAACAGTGCTGTCTGTGTTTTCATAACTCTTATGCACAGTGTACCTTAAATTGAATGAAATAAAATTTAATTGAATCAAACATACATACATATATACATACATACATTTCTAGAAATGTGTCTGCATATGGACACATGAAAAAATACTGCATAGGGTAGATATCAAATTGATAATTATATGCACAGAAATTCATATATGTCTTCTTCCAGTCTGTTTTCATTGGACCCATATATCCTACAAGTGAGCTGTATAAGCCACTAGCTAATGCAGAACTTGGTTGTTGTTTTTTTGTTGATATATAATATCGAAAACTGTTTTAAAATGAGACATGTAATGAAGAGGCCTGCTCCTCTAATAGTCATTTAATAGCCAACAATTGTCTGTATAGCATACAATTTATAAACATTTGCCCCCCCCCCTCCAAAATCTCACTGTTTAAGTAGATTTGGTTTTTTTCTAATAACGCATATATAAGATGGCACCCTGAATTTACAGTTCTAAAAAGTGTTATTTTCTAGGAAATACCGAAATCTTTTCCTGTCACTTCGGCTTAACGCATCAGCGCTGGCCCTTCAATCCTCTCTGAAGGTTTGTTTGTTGCCTGTTTTCGTCGTCCCCTCGTTCGCTCGTTTTCACCCCCTCCTTTGAACAGCCCAAACCTGATTTTAAAAAAAATTAGTTCACGGGGTTGATCAGGATTTTCTTCGTAAGTGAAATACGCGAAGGCTGCCTGTCACTCACCCGTTACCTTTTAAAAACGCAGTGGGTTCGACTTCTAAATCAACACGCTGCTTTATAAAAACCAAACCAAAAAAAATAATTTAAAAAACCGTAAGGCTGCAGCGGGCAAGATAAGAAACCGAAAAAATAATAATAAAAGAAAGTAAGGTAGGGAAGAAGAAAAAAGAAACTGTTAGCGGAAAGGGGCACGTTTGGAGAAGATGTGGTGGGGGGGAGGAGGCCCTGCCGGGGGGTGCAGTTGCTGTTCTCAGTCAACAGGTTGCACCGTTCCCCCTCGGCTGCCCCGCAATGCGCGCGCCCGCCTTTCCTGCGCGGGCTCCCCGCTCTGCCGCGTCTCTGCTCTCTTTCCTTGGTCTAGGGGAGGGAGGGGGGAAGAGGAGGAGAAGGAGGAGGCGGAGGCTGCCGCGGCTGCTGCGGCTGCTGCTTGCACCGTCGCCGTCCTCCATTTTGTGGCTGGGGCACAAACCGTAGAGCTGAGCGTAGACGGAGTGGCTGGCAGGGGGAGGAGGAAGAGGAGGAGGAAGAAAAAGAGGAGGAGGAGGAGGAGGGGAAGAAGAAAGGGAGGGCGGGACGCCCTGGCGGAGGGAAGGCGGGAGAGACGTGGAGAGAGAGAGAGAGAGAAAGTGTGACTTTAATTAACCGCGGGGGCAGAAGTGTGCGTGTGCTGCACGCGAGCGGGGGTGGGTGGGAGAGGAGCAGGTGAGGGGCTTCGGCGGTTTGTGTGTGTGTGGGAGCGCGGGTCCGCCTGTCAAGTGCGTGTGGGGAGGAAAGGGAGGGGGCCGACTGCTTACCTCCTCATCTGCAAAGAGGCGGCTGCTTTCACCCTCCACCCCCACCCCACACCCAATCCCGTCGCCCCGTAACTCTGCTTCCTTCCAGTCCCCACCAAGTTGTTTATTTGCTTCGCTGCCTGCTGGAGCCATGGAAGTTGGTGGTTAGGAGGACTCCCAGCGCCCCCGCTGGATACGGTAAGGGGTGTCTCTCCCCCCCCCCCCCCCCCCCCCCCCAGGTGTGGGCCGGAGGGAGGAATGGTTTCTACTTTTAGGCTCTGTCCCTCTCGAAGGGAAGATGCACCGCTGAAGCGCGGCCGAGTGCTTATTTTTTTTTCTGTAGAGGTCACCCTCCACCCTGTCAGTAATGCCTTCCCCCCCCGCCCGCCCGCCCGCCATTAAGACCGAGCGGCTTGCTGCCGAATGGTGGTGAGGCCGGAGAAGGGTGGGAGCCCCTTCCCCTCGATCCATTGAGTCGCTTTAACTTTAAAGTCCTCCTCATTAAACGGGGACGAGGGAGAAGGGTGTCTGGTGTGTGTTTAAATATATGTACGCGCCTATGTGTATAGTGTAGGCGAGGGTGGGTGGGTGGGGGAATGATTTCCTATTCTGTTCTACAACCATGTTTGGCTCACTCTAATCCGGCTTAAGAGACTGTCCAAAATAGGGTATCTTCTTGGAATGGAACGATTTTAAATTTGCGATCCTGTATCTATTTACTTTGTGAGGGACTCTGAATTCAAACGGACTTTCTTCTGAAAGACGTATATGGGACTGCACTGCAAAAGTAGTATAAATCTTATGTAATGGTTCCCTCCCTCTACTTTATCTTCCCCTCGACTTTTTTTTTTAAAGGCTATTTGGAAGGTTTGTTTTTTTTAATGTTCACTTTTTTTTAAAGTATGCTATCACCTTCCTTTTGGTTTCCCCTTTTTTATTTGGCGGCCCCACGATTGGAAACAGACAAGGAGTTGAAAACTTGGACTTGGTTAGAATTTTTTTGTGTTTTTTTTTTTTAAGCAAAGGGCTGATGTTATTTTGCAGAAGTGGGCGTGCCAGGCAAATGCTCAACAGGTCCCGACACATTTTTTCTTTCTTTTTTTCATCTTTACAAGAAGAGAATTTCAACTCAAAAAAGATTAAATATCTTTGGAGTTGCTTTTTTCACTTCCAGCAAATGAATCATATGATAGATTTATCTCCTTGGCGTTGTCTGTCACATAATGACAAGGGGAGAAACTTGTCAAACGTGGTAACTCCCGTTCTTTTTCTGTCCTTCCCTCTTTTTTTCTTTCTTTTTTCTTTTTCCTTTAGAGCTATGATATAGTGTGGATCTTTTAAAATTGCACAATTCTTTTTGTCAAGGCCAAAAAGAATTTTTAAAGTTTCATGCAACTTTTGAAGAGGATATTGCAGAATTGGCTGTGTCATTTGTATATGTTGCCTTTTTGTTTATTGTTAGTTGCCTTCTTGCCATTCATAAACACCCTAGGCTTCATAAATTTGCAAAATCTGTGCAAAGAAGTTAAGGATACATAAATGTATCTAAATACTAAATACTAAAAATAAGTTTAGTATTTTAAGAATAAGATCTTATTTCTAAATTTCTATTTCTAAATTAAGAATATAGTAAGATTTTTTTTAATGAAAATTAAGTCAATGGATCATACAGAGAAACCTGGATGATGAATAGATTTGTAAGTTGTGACGGATACAAATGCAACAATATTTGAATAGACCTGACTGAGATTCTTGAAAATAAAATAGTTTAGGAAAAGTATACAAATTAAAGGTACTTTTTGTTTTAATATTTATAAACAGTCTTTAATTTGACATGAATTAAATACTCTATTAAATAGCTATTCTGTTTTTTGTGGTTTGATTGTATTAGACAAATATTATTTGGTTAAATTAAGATAACTTTCCAGCAATTGGGATTTTTTGTATTAGAAATATTACTTAAGAGACATTGAAAACTATTAAGCCGTACCTTTTTAATATTCTTTTTTTCTTGGGGTCAGTACTTTGTAAATCCTTACATTTCTGATCTCAGGCTAATGGTGGTTTCTTTTATTTATTTTTATTAGTATTGAAATAATGGAGCCCAAAGAATCGTTAAAATCCACTGGAGGGGAGGAAAGAGTGAAAAGTGCTCACTTTCATCCATCCTTTAGGGGTGGTGCTTCTGTCAAGACTCCTGTATCTGCTCTGTCTGCCTCATCTCAATCTGACTCCAAGCAACCTGTTCTGTGTGACTTGCCAAAGGGGTTAGGAAGCAATGTGCCGCAGCCGGATCTCTCCAAAGCAGTGTCACTTTCAATGGGACTGTATATGGGTGAAACCGATACAAAAGTAATGGGAAATGAACTTGGATTTCCTCAGCAAGGCCAAATCAGCCTCTCCTCTGGAGAAACAGATTTTAGACTCCTTGAAGAAAGCATAGCAAGCTTGAATAAATCCTCTAGTCTGATAGAAAGCTCAAAGGGAGTTGCATCTACTGATGTATCCCTAGAACCAGAGTTCCCAGCTATGACTTTAAATCAAGGGTCTTTAGCGCAAGGCCAGGTTGACAATAACAGTGGCAACTTGAAGCTCTTTTCGGAAGACCAAAACACCTTTGATATTTTGCAAGATTTTGATTTGCCACCAGTGTCTCCTGGAAGAGAAACAAATGGAAGTCCTTGGAGAATGGATCCTGTTCTGGATGAAAGTAGCTTGCTTTCGCCTCTTGGTGGGGATGAGAGTTTTCTTTTGGAAGGAAGTGAAATGGAGGATTGCAAGCCTCCCATTTTACCAGACACAAAGCCTAATATTAATGAATGTGAGGATCTTTTGTCAAGTTCTACAATGCAGATGCCACAAGTGAAAACTGAAAAAGAAGATTTTATTGAATTGTGTACCCCTGGAGTTATAAAACAGGAGAAAATAGGCACAACTTACTGCCAGGCTAATTTTTCTGCGTCAAGTATGATTGGAAATAAAACATCTGCCATTTCTATTCATGGTGTTAGCACTTCTGGAGGACAAGTTTACCACTATGATTTGAACACTGCGTCTGTCACTCAACAGCAGGATAAGAAACCAGTTTTCAGTGCCATTCCATCTCATCCTGCTAGTTCAGAAAATTGGAATAGATGCCAGGGATCCGGAGATGATGCCCTTAAACCAGTGGGGGCTTTGAATTTTTCAAACAGATCTGTCTTCTCCAATGGATATTCAAGGTAAGATACGTTTTTTTCTATTTAAACTTAATAGAATGCTTTTATGTAATATAAAGGTAGTTATAATATGTTCATGTTTATTATCCTTTCGGTTAAAACATTTAATTCTTTGAAAAATAGGCTATCTGCAGTGCGGGCAAGTCATTGCAATTTTACATTTTATAATTATGATAATAAAGGAGAAAAAATAAAAATAAATGGCTACTTTGCCATTCAAGTTACATTTTAACCAAAGACAATGAATTAGTTTCAATTTTCATTTCAATTTCAGTTTTTATTTCAATACTGTATTGGTTCTCGTGATATTATTGAACAAAAATCTATTTTATTTATTTATTCTTTACTCATTTTAGCCAGTAAAATATAAAGCTTAGGATTTTTGTAGTAGGATTTCAATTTTAATACTCAACATAAGTAAATTTAGGATGATGTGCAGATTAAGCTATGGGAAGTAGGGTTTTTGACACTGGAATATTGGATATACATTCAGATTTAGAAGTATAAATTTTGTTGCTATCATCTAACAAATTTATTCTATATTGTTACATCCATTTTTTCCTGTAAAATTATTTTTTTCATTGAATGTTTTAATCTATATTTAAGTGATTTAGGGGCAGCTATATTCTAACAGAAGTTTTATCTTTAATTTCTGCAGAACTTAATTTTTTTCTTCTAACAAATGTTGGCATTTATTATTTTTAATAAACTTTCTGTTCCTTTGAAAGTTGAGTTCCATTGGATTTTTATATTACCAGATAGAATTTACATGTGAGTTTGTTATTAGAATAAAATATTAAAGTATTGTATATCAAATATAGTAATCCAGTTTTCATTGGACTATTTTGTTCTTTTGCTTTTTTGGTCTTTGTTAAGAACATAAGCACAGATATTAAATAGCACAGAGCGTGCTTCAATTTTCTACTTTTTATATGTTCTATTTTCACTCATGACAATTACTGTGGTAGAGGAAAAGAAGAAATGGTTTGGACACTATCACTATATAGAGAAGGTTGATTTGTAGTACAATGTATATTGCTTCATATTAATTCGATTTTAAACATCTCTTAATAGAAACAATTTTATAGTACATACTTGTTGCAAGTTGCCTTTTATGACTCTTACTTTTCATATTTTTATTATATTGAATGTTATGTGGTAAATTTACAACAAATCTGGTGAAATTCTGTAAATAAGATGCTTAAATCATTGTTTGGTAAAAATTTATACAAAAAGAATACCCTTGAAACAGTTTATAGTTTTGTAGTTAAGCTATACACCTGTATTTAGGAGGTTTATGCTAAAGATTTTTTTAAATGATTTGGTGTGTCTAAGGTCTCAGAAATGTGTATGAATTCCAATTTTGTTGCTCAGTTGAAATCCCTTTTTTCTTACCTTGATTTTATCTTATATTTAATATAAAACATAAATTAAAATGTTTCTTATAAATTGTATATTCTTTATTTTAGTTTATTTTTTTAAAATGGAAGCAGAACATATATTATATATGGTTCAAATAATAATGACTAGAAATATTAATCACTTGTTTGCAAATGAACTTTCA